TCCCCAACTACGTAGGCAATGCAATTAACACTCACACACAGCTCACACAACACACATAATAACTTAACTAAACGAAAATGCAAGATGTATACACTAAACATTCCTCCTCTGTGAGGTCTCTTTGAGGTCCCGTCCCCTCTCCCCCTCCTTACTATATAACACATGTAAATTAAACGCATTCATGAACATTTTCTCATATATTGGCGCTCGAATATTCGAAGAAATGGGGGGGGGGGAATTATGTTTCATAAAATTTCAAAAATTAAAAAAAAAAAAAAAAAAAAAAAAAAAAAAAAAAAAAAAAAAAAAATCAATACAAAAATTCAATAAGTATTCCATAATCCATTTCCCCCCCATTTTCAAACACTTCAAATTCCAACTAAGTTTCATCAAATTTAAATTTCAAAATTAATATTTATCAAAATCTCTCTCTCCTCCATTACCAAAAGAAAAAGAGAGAGAACAAAAAAAAATAACAATAGCAACAGCAATAACAATAGCAACCGCATGCTTCGGCAAACTTAGCTTGCCGGACCTAGCTACCACTGCTAAGCCCGCACGCATACCACCCACATACACTACAGAAGCGGTCCATCCGACCGACATAACCACTATGTGCTTTCATCAGATGCTTGTCACCGAAGCACATATGCTGAACCCAATATAAATCACATTGAGTTAGGAGCACCCAATTCCAAGGTAATCCTAAGCCCGAGTTTCACCCACAAAAAAAAAAAAAAAAAAAAAAAAAAAAAAATGACCTGAGAGGAGCGCCATATTCAATATCAAAAGAGTACTGAAATAGTGACACTATCAGCCTTCGCCACGGCATAGCAAAGCCTCTAAACGGCTTTCTTTTCATTATATTATTTAAAAGTGATTGCTTGCCTGGCATTTTTTCAAAATAATTAACCAGCCTTCGCTACGGCATAGCAAAGCCTCTAAACGGCTTTCTTTTCATTATATTATTTAAAAGTGATTGCGATTAATACCAGACTTCAATGCAATCGAGGGTGGCGCCCACAAAGACAAAAGCAACCACTCATCCCTTATTGCATTTCTTAACACAGAAGGAGTCACAACCACAACGAAGCCCCAGAATGCACATCCGCAATCACGCAATCATGTACTGCGAACGCGCATCCGGAGGCCTCCCGCCTTATCTGCCAAAAAAGAAACAAACACACAAAAATTCATTAACCCTATATAACTAATCGAATTCCTAAACTCCTATAGACTTCAGGGTCATCACCCGAGAGCCCTCCATATCCTATCCTCTTTCAAGGCTCTCTAACGTGTCTGTTATAAGAAAGCACCTTTGAATTCTTCATTGAATACTCCTCAATTAAAATTATTAAAAAAAATACAACAGTACGGATTCCATTAGGGAGGAGCTCAACATTTACGACTGCAGTTAGTTCCAGACTTCAATGCATACAAGGGCAGCACCCCCAAAGATAAAAACATTCACTCATCCCTCAATGCATTGTCTAATCCTTAGGGGTCACGACCACAAAGGATCTTTATAAGCAATCATCGATCGTTTCTATCCTCTCTTAAGACTCTCTAAATTGTCTTTCATAAGAAAACACCTTTGAATTCTTCAGTAAAACTACTCAATTATCCAATAATGAAACAGTATAAATTATAATACTAAAGGATTAAAAATAGACCTGTATTCTTTAATCGTGTATTGGAGGTTTCCCGCGCTATCTGTTCAACAATACTAAATCGAATTCCTAAACTCCAATAGACTTCAGGGTCATCACCCGAGAGCCATCCCTATCCTATCCTCTTTCAAGGCTCTCTACCGTGTCTGTTATAACAAAGCACCTTTGAATTCTTCATTGAATACTCCTCAATTAAAATTATAAAAAAATAATACAACAGTACGGATTCCATTAGGGAGGAGCTCAACATTTACGACTGCAATTAGTTCCAGACTTCAATGCATACAAGGGCAGCACCCCCAAAGATAAAAACATTCACTCATCCCTCAATGCATTGTCTAATCCTTAGGGGTCACGACCACAAAGGATCTTCATAAGCAATCATCGATCGTTTCTATCCTCTCTTAAGACTCTCTAAATTGTCTTTCATAAGAAAACACCTTTGAATTCTTCAGTAAAACTACTCAATTATCCAATAATGAAACAGTATAAATTATAATACTAAAGGGATTAAAAATAGACCTGTATTCTTTAATCGTGTATTGGAGGTTTCCCGCGCTATCTGTTCAACAATACTAAATCGAATTCCTAAACTCCAATAGACTTCAGGGTCATCACCCGAGAGCCATCCCTATCCTATCCTCTTTCAAGGCTCTCTACCGTGTCTGTTATAAGAAAGCACCTTTAAATTCTTCATTGAATACTCCTCAATTAAAAAAAAAAAAAAATACAACAATACGGATTCCAATAGGGAGGAGCTCAACATTTATGTTGAGCTGAATGATGATATTATAACTTGTGTAATATACCAAAAGAGGGCGGGCGCATTGTTTCTTGATTTTACCAAATTTATACCATCCGTTTGTAAACAAATCTTCAGTAATATTTTTTCTACCGTCGAACACGATACGTTCATATTCCACAAAGGATATCGTTGAAAAAAAAATCTGCACACAAAATACTCTCTCGAATGTTTGCACAATGATATAATTAATGCCCAAGCAGGGTAGAATTCAGTAAAACTCTTTGCAATAGTATATGTTACAAGTATTTGTTAGTACTTTTGGCACATTCAAGAAGTGGTCATAACAAGTCTGTTTTCTGCTCTTTCTGACAATTTTCCGTGGATGCCCCACCCCTTTTTACGAGAAAAAAAAGGATATCATATTTTCTTCTATGATATTCCATAAAGAAATAGAAAAATAAATAATACCGAGGATAACAATTTACATTATTACGGACGTTTTGCTCTGTTTGAGGAAGGGGAGGGAGGGGTTTGGGGGAGTTTTTGAGAAAGTATTGTATGTGCAGAATTCTTTTTCAACGATATTCTTCGTGGAATAGAATATGGACTCACCGTGTTCAAATTGATGATTTGGCATTGTAATGTTGGACCACTCTCGCGAAAAATAAAACTCTATACCGAGGATAACAACTGACACTCATTATTACGGACATTTCGCCGAACTGAGTAGGCAATAGTAAAAGTCTTATTTAAATAGCCTCATGCAAGGGCAGATCCAGGGTTTTGTAAAGTGGGGGGGGGGGGGGGGTCATAAAATTTCTGCCATTTGCTGACGACCGAAACAAGGGAAATCAGGAACCTATTTCATAAAGGTTTTTCACAATGACAAATTACAAAAAGTGACAAATCTGCTGATAACCAATCAGAAACAAGTATTTCAGTAGTTTATATTCTGTCATTAAATTGTCACTTATGTCAAATTTTGTGAAATGGGGCCCAGATCTGGATTTTTTGTTGTAACCTAAATATAGGAGTCACAGTTATGGACTTGTGTATCAGATGCCACTTGAGGGCGGGGGAGGGGACGAGCCGGTTTAAAATACTTAATTCCAGGCGCGATTATATATATCTTTGTTTGAGGGAGGGGAGGGAGATGTTTAGGGGAGTTTGGGGTTTCTTGATTTGATTGTTACATATGTCTTGCTTAAATTTGATTCAAAATGATAAGGAAAACATGGCAGTTTATTTTTTTATTTAGGGGAGGGAAGGGGGGTTGAGCCCACGAAACCCCCACTAGAAGCACTACTACACAAAGAATCGCAATGAAAAGGTAAAAGTAGCTGCTTCCTTATGCATTATCATGATTCCCCATCCCCTTTCACTAAAACAAATCCTGCTATACATCTGCATGTATATATTCAAATCGAACTATTATTAGAGAATTCGTAGGCCTATTGAAATTAGTCACGATTTCTCAGTCTACGCACCGCAAACAAAGAGCCTGGATGCACAGCCTAAAGAGTTCGACACGTACTACGTTCCACGTTCCACACACACACAGTGATCTCATGTGTGTATATAGCACAGTGACTTCATCCGATTGCATACGTTTTGTTGGACGCTACTAGGGATCGCCTCAGAAAAACTACTCGCAGTAAATGGACTTTGATAGCGTCGGGTTGTTGATCTATAAAATGTCTTGTGATTTGAATTTCAATGGTCCAAAGGTGGAACAAATACTAAAGTCAATATTAGCGATTTATTTGTTTATCATGAGATGATAGATAGCTAGGCCTACTCTTTATTCTACATTTGAATTAAAAACAGTTGAAAATGTGAAAGTTTGAGACTTCAACGACTTTTCAGTTTTCATCGAGGGGGCGTATCATCAAGTAGGCCCTATGCAAGCTAATTCAGAATAATTTTCAATCTGATTTTTTCGGGGGGGGGGGGGAGCGCTCAGAATTGAGATAACGTTGGTGGAGAATAGCCCAAAATAGACCCTTTATACCTCTATTGTGTTATTTGTGTAGAATATTTTTGTTAATTTAATCATGCTTATCTTGTAGTTACAAGTGCAATTTTAGGTGATATCATTCCCCACAAAAACCCGTGCTATTTCGAAATGATGTAGATTGCCGTATTTTGCTATATGTGTTTCATCAAGTTTCTGAAAAAAACCACTTAAAAAATGAAGACATGTGAAGTAAACTTGCAATGCAATATGTGATGACATTGTTATCTAAATTTTTGTTTAAAGTCAGCCACATAAATCATTTCTCCACTACTTCGATGTCGTTTGTCCAGCAAATATAATGTATGTTAACCTTATATCCTAAGCTGTCTCTGCACTTTATTTCTTGATGATCTTAATTGACTAATCTGCCCCTTGTCCATAAAGAACATATTTTTATATGAATCGGATAGACTGAAATCTTGTAGTAAACTACCATTTATCTATCCCTCGAGTTTGTGCGATTTCAAGACGATCCCTTCATGTTTACATGTACACAACAATCGGTAAAGGTTAAGCTCTCAAGTATACATCTGAATTTACCTCAAATATATATTGCAACATAATTATAGCTTTGGTTCAAAGTCTGCCTGGATGTTTATATATAAACTACCGCTCCCCGTTTCGTGCCAGCCATTTAGCAGTGCAATTCAAATCGACAGCACTCACTTGAAATCAATCATTCATTTTGAAGACAGCTAAGTGACTCGAACAGACAAAATGAGGGAGATTGTGCATCTGCAGACCGGCCAGTGCGGCAACCAGATCGGATCAAAGGTAATATTTATATCTTTTCTATAGTTTCATGAAATATATTCTAGTTATCATGTGAGTTAAGATGCTACCTTAACTAGTAGTAGTAGCAGTGAAGTACATTCTAGTTCTTTTTTTCTTTCCATTGAGACATTGAGTTTTGTCAAGAGCTACACACCCTGCTGATACAGGGACTTAGGCGTTTTAATCAAATAATTGTTTATCGTATATCCTAAACAAACAAGTAAGATCGTCAATCCACCGTCGGGATGGGTGCTTGGGGTGGGGCTGTTGCGGGCACGTGTACTAGATCGGTGGATGAAATGCGAGAGAATAAGGTCATCTAACCTATTCTTACCTGGATTATGACCATATATATGTATTGTGTACTATTGTATGTATTTTGTCCTAATGTATTGTTGTTCGTGTCTGATGATGATCCGACCTTGTGGATTTGCATCAATAAACTTGAATTTGAATTTTGGATTTGAATCTAATGAGGGGAAGGTGTGCGAAGTGGTCACACCGGATCCCCCCTCTCTCTCTCTCTCTCTCTCTCTCACTCACTATATATAAATATATATATATATATATACGTACATAATCATATATTCCTATCTTCGATGGAGATGGAGGGGAGGAGGGGGAGGGGGGGGCTCATACACCCACACCTAGCTCAGCATGCTTGTGTGTAACATCATCAGCCTATTCTGCTCATAGATTTTCCCAATTCACTAGTCACACGGTGGCTCTCATTATCTAGGGTCGAGGGTTCGAATCCCAACCCGGCACTAACGCCCTTCGGCAAGACATTAATCCACATTCACCACTCTCCACCCAGGTGTAAATGGGTACCTGGATCGATGGGGTGATATTTATTGCATGGTCTGCAGAAAGAGAACTCTTTGTATGCCCCACAAAAATCTTCTTGTGAAAATTTGTATTTACCATTGGATAGATACACCAAAGGCTTTAAGAATATTCAACTGGCAGAGCAATGTTAATCTATACTGGTGGCCTTGGTTTTAAACGCTTTGTAAAACAAGACCAGTTTAATGATAGATTGGTGCCTATTTATTAGGAAAATTTCACTGTTGGCAATCGAGCGATCGTACAAAGAGGCGAAGGAAGCAAGTTTTTGATGTGGCTACCCTGGTTTAATATAAAGACCAAACTATTATTCAGTAGTAGTAGTAGTAGTAATAGTAGTTGGTTGGGTAATCCCTTTGGCATCTCATTCAGGAAGCTATACTACTACTACTACTACAACTACTACTACTACTACTACTAGTGTAGTAGTAGTAGTAGTAGTAGTAGAAGTAGTAGTAGTAGTAGTAGTAGTAGGAGTAGTAGTAGTAGTATAAGTAGTAGTAGTAGTAGTAGTAGTAGTAGTAGTAGTAGTATAGTAGAAGTAGTACCATCACCAATTTTATTATTATCATAATTATTATTATTAGTAGTAGTAGTATTAGTATATATTAGTAGTAGTAGTAGTAGTAGTAGTACTTTTATTATTATTATTATTCCAAAGTTCTGGGAAGTAACATGCGACGAGCATGGTGTCGATCCAACCGGAGCTTACAGTGGCGACTCCGATCTCCAACTGGAGCGCATCAACGTCTACTTCAACGAGGCCGCCGGGGGCAGGTACGTTCCAAGAGCCGTGCTGGTCGACCTCGAGCCAGGCACCATGGACTCCATTCGCTCAGGACCGTACGGACAGATCTTCCGACCGGACAACTTTGTGTTTGGGCAGAGCGGAGCAGGGAACGTCTGGGCCAAGGGACACTATACTGAGGGAGCAGAGCTAGTCGAATCCGTGATTGACGTCGTCAGAAAAGAAGCCGAAGGCTGTGATTGTCTACAAGTAAGCACCAATACCGCTATCCCTTCATACTAAACTTTTCCCAAACTCACATGTCAGTTTCTAAGGATTTGGCATTTATCTCTGCTCCCACAGTGCCTCACTACTTTACCAAAATCTGTCAGTTTCTACTCCTCTCACTTTACTGGATGTGATTAATGAGCAAAACTGGGATGTATTTGTAATCCATGTTTGGATGAATTTTCCAGATACCATTTTAATTTCATAAACCAGAGCCCTATCATATGCGTGAGTCCTTGTACATTTACCGCCCATATATAACAGTTATTGTGCCTTATGCAAGCGTGCTCAAAATCGTAAAAGTTTTCAAAACCGAACTGACAGATATAGGGTAACTAATTTGACATCCACCACCAAAGAAGGTATTAAGAATCATTTTGGGAATGATGAATCTGGGTATATCCACCATTTCATGTGGCCAGAGCTAGTGCATTCTAAAATCACGGCTTTATCAACATTATATCACTTAGCCTTTAAATACTTATATTTCTATAGTAATCATTTTTTTTATTGCCACTCCTGTGATTTATCACCAAAATATTTGGTAGGCTCGTTATACATGTTCTTGCTATCCGATTTTCGAAGACATGGCAATTCTATTATTATGTAGAAATCTAAACAAATCATTAAACAAAATCATTCGAATGATCCGATTTCGAAAGAATTTGCAATAGCATTTATTATGAACATTTAAACATGTAAAATCTTTATGAATGAGGATCTGAAAAGTAATATGATTGATGAAATCTAAATTTCAAGGGCTTTCATCCTTCTTTGGAGGAGAAAATAGAGGGCGCAGGTTTGTGAAAACACGCTTCAGCCCTTTTGGCCAAAGGTCCTCATGACCGAAGTATTTAATCTCGCTGAACTTCTTCGTAGTCATAAGTTCTAGGAGATCTAAATACAATGATTACACTCTGAATGATCTTAGATCGATCTCTCGGGCCTTAGGTCAACTGGGATGACCCTGAAATGAAGTTCAACTAGTTTATTGAATTTAGTTACAACTTGGCTTGACTGATAAAATAGCTTCAATGGACGCTTTTTATTTTTGCTCTTAATACGTTTAAGTTCATATTTTGCCTTTTATCATGTTTACATTTAAAATTTTATTCTCAGGTGTTGAGCTTTATTTATGTATATTTATGTGAGTCGAAGTCTATGAATAGGTCGTCGGACTATGGTTCACATAGTTCGTGGTTCAAGTCCCGCCACGACACTAATGTCATTTGGCTAGATATGTATCTACATTAGTCACTCCCCACCCTGATGGTACCAGTTGGAAAGAATCCCTTGAACGATGTGAGCACCGAAATCGATAGCCTGGCAGAGCCGGGGTAATATTAAAGCGCCTTGAGCACCTTGCATCATGAAAGTGTGCGTTATAAGAATAAACACCGTTGTTATCTTTATTATCATTATATTATCATTATCATTATCATTATCATTTGTTTTCTTCTTCAGGGATTTCAACTCACACATTCTCTAGGCGGTGGCACTGGCTCTGGCATGGGTACGTTGTTGATTAGTAAGCTGAAGGAGGAGTACCCTGACAGGATCTTCATGTCATTTAGTGTCTTCCCATCCCCCAAGGTCTCCGAGGTGGTCGTCGAACCTTATAACGCTACCTTATCAGTCCATCAGCTCGTGGAGAATACCGATGAAACGTACTGTATCGACAATGAGGCCCTCTACGACATCTGCTTCCGTACCCTGAAGCTGACCACACCCACGTACGGCGATTTGAACCATATTCTGTCGTACGCAATGAGCGGTATTACCGCCAGTCTTCGTTTCCCCGGCCAACTCAACGCCGACCTCCGCAAACTTGCCGTTAACATGGTGCCGTTTCCTCGTCTTCACTTCTTCATGCCTGGTTTCACGCCTCTGACGAGTCGTGGTAGCCAGCAGTACCAAGCCTTGAGCGTTGCCGAGCTCACCCAGCAGATGTTTGATGCCAAGAACATGATGGCTGCTTGCGATCCTCGTCATGGCCGTTACCTCACCGTAGCGACCATGTTCCGAGGTCGCATGTCCATGAAGGAAGTCGACGAACAAATCCTCAACACACAGACCAAGAACAGTACTTACTTTGTCGAGTGGATCCCCAACAACGTCAAATCCGCCGTTTGTGACATACCTCCTCGAGGTATGAAGATGTCAGCAACTTTCATTGGGAACAACACCGCCATCCAAGAAATCTTCAAGCGCATCTCTGAGCAGTTCACCGTCATGTTCAGAAGAAAGGCCTTCCTTCATTGGTACACTGGTGAGGGTATGGACGAGATGGAGTTCACTGAGGCTGAGAGCAACATGAACGACTTGGTGTCCGAGTACCAACAGTACCAGGACGCTACGATCGATGACGAAGGAGAATTCGAAGAAGAGGAAGGGGATGTCGATCCCGAGGAGGCATAAGTCATCTTCCATCAGAAAATCAACCCGGACTCTCCTCCCCCCCCCCCTCATAAAAAAAATCAAAAAATCAACAAATCAACAAAAAATAGAAAGAAAGAAAGAAAGAAAAAATCAAAAAAGAAATGAAATAAGATAAAAACAGAATTCCTAATTGTTTTACTAACATTAACATCATTCATTGCGTTATGGGTTTTTAGACATGCAAAATTAATTTTCTAAAATAGCGATAGCCGTATAATAAAGTACTCTTGATTGTATGTGTGTTTTTTTTCTGGGGGGGGGGGGGGGGGGGCGGGGGGGGGGGCGTTGGGGTTCGATTTTATCAATATGAAAGCAGCAAACGTTTTTGGAGTCTGTGTATATTCAGGAATACGTTCATATTTTCTACATGTAAAATAATATGGTATCAAACTCGGTAAATTCACTTAATTGAAATTGTGGAAGTGCCTTGCTATTTGCTATTTATGGCATTATATTTACAAATTCTCTTACAAAGTGATTGCTGTTAGAATTTTAATCAAATCATTTGCTTGGTCATGCCCTCCAGATGTCTAACATTTCTGTGCATTAAATTGAAAATAAAGTACATATAATCAGTGATTCATAAAACTGTTCATTCTTTAGGTATGTTGATAGTTCCATGGTACCTCACACTAACTTTTCGTGAATATTATTAGAAATAAAACTTAAAAGATGTTGCCGATGTACACAAATAGTACTAAGAAGATTTGATTATGCTGATGTTGTCCAAACTGCAAATGGCGTGATTGTCATTTTTTTGTTTATTCAGACTCGTAAAATATCCAATCCTCTGGTTCGCTCTTTTTCACTGTTTTACTACATCTTCACTTTCTACCCCCTCTCTCTTTCTCTTTCTCCTTCATTCCATCTTGTCTATCTCACAAATTTCCATCTGCCATGTCTGTCCATCTCATTTTCCTCTCTATCCGTCATCTTCATCGGTATTGTTAAACATGTTTTTACAATCCTCAATTCTTTGTTTCTGTTCCTTGATAGTGTGATTATATTAAAATTTTAATGAAAATCAATCAATCGCTAAGAAGCATATTTATATTCAGCCGGTACTTCATTAATGGATCTGAAAGAGAGAGGAAAAGATAAATAGATAAATAGAGAAATGGAGAGTGAGAGAGAGAGAGAGGGAAAAAAAAGAGCGTGTGTGTAAGAGAGAGAGAGAAAGAGAGAGAGAGAGAGAGAGGGAAAAAGAAAAAGAGATTGAAAAAGAAAAGAATGAAACAAACAAAGCAAAAGAGAAAGAAATAATAAAGGTAGAAAGAGAGGGGTGTGTGTGTGTGAGAGAGAGAGAGAGAGAGAATTAAGGCAAAAGTGAGAGGGAGAGAGAGAGAGAGAGAGAGAGAGAAAGAGAGAAAGTGAAAAAGAGAGATTGATGGAAGTGTGTAAAGGCTGGCATTTCCTCCCACATTCTCTCCTATTCCATTCCAGGGAAGTCTTCATTTTTATTCCGATACAGTGTTATGCCAAAGAGACATAATAACTTTAGTAGTGAGCTTTTATTGCAATACATTTGTCGTGAATCATAATTATCCCCACCCACATTTTCAAAAAAGTAGATGATGTATGATGCCCAAATATCAATCTTTATTCCTGGACTTCTCGAAGGCCTTTGACACAGTGGATCACAATATACTTTTACATAAACCGAATCATTATGGAATCAGAGGAAAGGCCTTGGAGTGGTTCAGGAATTAACTCACTAATAGGAAACACTTTGTAGTTATCGACAACTGTACATCCACCTTAGGTGACAATAATATGCGATGTACCACAAGGCTCCATACTAGGCCCGCTATTATTCATATTGTATAATAATAACTTGTATCTTTCATCTAGACAATTATCCTTTATACTCTTTACTGACGATTCAAATTTATTTTACACAAATACGGATCACACCAGCTCTCCAAAATTGTTAATTGGATTTCTGCAAATAAACTTTAACTAAATCTTGATTAAAAAACAATTTTATGATTTTTAGCAGTACTACACGTCCTGAGCCTACAATTCTCAAAACACATGCACTCACCCAGGTTACTATTATCAAATTTCTTGGTATTTTAATTGCCGATCGTTTGACATGGAAATCCCATGTTACTCAATTATGTAAGAATGTACCGTAACATCGGTGTTATAAACTTAGACATTTCTTCTGACAGCCCACCCTCCATACATTGTACTGTACTCTTTTCCTATCCATTTTGAATTATCGAATACTCGGGGCCACTCTACTAAACAAAACCTCAATTAACTCATACTACAACAAAAAGGGCTAAACAAATGAGAATTATCTGCGACAAAAGCTATCACTTTCACACTAACACTCTCTTTTATGATAATAAGGTCTTAAAAATTGATGAATTATATTTGCATACTCTCGGTTGTTTTATGTACCATTTAGAGAAAAAAAAATCAGTTACCAAAAACTTGCTGCAGATATAAAAAAAAACAATGAAGTTCACAAGTGCCCCACTAGACAATCAGATCGGTTTCATCTACCACAGACCAGAACTGTCACTGCTCAAAAGACTTTTATATATATACCGGAACTCATTAAATGATAACATTAAATCAGCTCCTACCATTTGTTCATTTAAACGTAGACTTAAACAATACCTTCTAGATAGATACAGTTATTAAAACGACAACATGTATAGGGAAAACAGCTTTTGGAACAATAATATTAAACTAAATTAAAAGATAAACCTTTTAGTAAGATAAGACCAAAACATTGCAAAAGTAACCATAGTGTGTAATGTCCCCGTCCTTCATGCTCCAGCCTCCACTTCCTCTTTCTTTCTTTCTTTCTTTTTCTCTTCCTCCCCCTCTCTCTCTTCTCTGCTAGAAAGGTTATCATTTGTTTATATTATTATTATTATTTCCATTATCTGTACAAATTCTGTGTATACACCAATGTTAAAGACATCATTTTCGTTTTGTAGCGCAGGGGGAGGAGGGAGGGGGGGGGGGGTGTAGGATTACCTAAGCATTTTTATACATATATTTTTTAATTATATTACAGAGCACTTAAAATCCATCCTTAAAATAATGAAATCGGTCAGAACATTAAAGTATATAATTTACAATGTAAATCAGTTTAAAAATCTAGACATGGTGAATCATATATAGGTGAAGGAGCCCAATAAAAGCATTGCTTGTATACAGATCTTTGTCTGCTGTAGATTAAAACATATACACCCAACCATTCCCTATTATTCATATTCTATGCATCCTTCGGTTAAAACAGTGAATCGTTGAAAGTGTTTTCTTGTATTTTCCTTAGTTACCTATACCTCTTTATAACTGTGACCCTTTCAAAAGTATTAAAAATAATTGGCTAATGCAAGCAAAAGATGTACCAATTTGGGTTACCTACTTAACGGAAAAGCATATATATAACAAATAATTATGATTCTGAAAGAAAATAAGAGGTCGGCTGTAGACGATCGCAGACCATCGACTAAAATTTGTATCAAAAGACAGAACAAAAACCCTAGTCATTATTTTAATTTCGGCTGGATATCTTTCAGAGTAGCACAGCACTGCGTTGTGAAAGTGAAAATTTAAACATGAAAAAAATTCGAAACGTATGCACATGGCTACTATAAAAATGTAACAAATATTAGAACAAAAATGTCTATCATACATATTCTGTATTTTCCGTTGTTTGACTCTTTAGGTCCAAGACAAATATCAGTTTATTCACAAGTGCTCTATTTACATTTCGAAAGTGTGTACAAATAAAAATGTACTAACTTACATTTAGTGCTTTTTACATCCTGAAATTGTCACTCAATTTTCTTCGGTTTCTGAGAAATATTGCAACCCAATTTAATTAGGCGAAAGTCGCAATAATGTATATAATACAATATTGTCACCCCCCCCCCCCCCAAAAAAAAAAAAAAAAAAAAAAAAAAAAACGTTCAAAGAGTTAATTTCATTCCAGACATCCCATATCTTCGTAATCTATATCATCAGGTTCACCTCCCATACAAATATAACCATCGTTGTACGTCAAACTATCCCTGGTTGCTCTATCAGCAACCTGGCCTTCTGTGATTGGTATTTGTCGAGGAACCGAGTAATTCAGCTCTGCATTATCAACCTTACTGCTCCCACTGCTTACCACCGCTTCTGCTGATGAAGTGATCGGCTTCGGATTTGTGTTCTCTTGGTTTAAAGAACGTATCATGGCCTGCATGTCACTTAGTGTTGCCTTCACCTTGTACAAGCAGCAAGAGATTGTACTCACCAATCCGATGATGACAAGCAGGAGGAGTCCCAGGATGCCCCCGATCAGTGCATGTATCACAGTGACGTCATATTCATCGTCTTCATGGTCGTAAACTGTGATTCTCGCAAAGCCAATGCCGTCGATGATCGAGGACGAACTTGCACTCGATACCGTACACTCAATCATCCTGTCTTCGTCTTCCTCTCCAACCTCCTGCAAAAGAAGTCTTCGCCCACCGTCCCGTGTCCAGGATCGCGATGCGATGTCAACCGATCCGTTTCTACTGTCCAACAGTCTCCACTTGAAGGTTGGATTCTCGATGTCGTTCTTGACATCGCATGCAAAGACAGCATTATCGACGCTGAAAGAACTCTCAACTTTCATGTAAAGTGGGAACGAACACAAAAGAGATTCATTTCTTTCTCGAAGTATTAGCTTACAGGGTGACACTTGACGGGTCAAGAGTTTTTTGAGCGTTACGATGTGTTGTACGCTCTTGACACGAGATATGACTGTTCCGACCTCATCTCCTTCCAATTTCAGATCACCCGTCATACCATGAGGTGCATTCCACTCACACCTCAATGTTAGTATGATGCCAAGTATTCCTTTAACTGACAAGGAAGGTGTGATTTGACACTTTGGTGGTAGAACCTCGAGAACTGATAAGGTAAATGTTTGGATGACATCATCATGATCATCTTTGCACTGAAACGAGACGTTTGACATAGCTGTGATCAACAATGATGAGCTGGTTGCATTTTGTTCAACAATATAATCTTTATTTCGAGTGTTAGGATGTACTTGACAGTCAAATCCGCTGCATGTTGCGATTTCTGTTGCATCATCATCATATCTCCACCAAGTTACGTTTCCGATTTCTTGAACATTATGACAAACTAAACAGACATTGCTACCAGTGATTATTTCAATATTCTGCCAACTATTCTCAATCGATTTGTTACCATGGTTATGGGCAAGTGATAGTTGGCATAAGCTCGACGCAAACAGACTAGATACCAGAAAGAGCAGCGCCATATTTTGATAGAATCAAACAGTCCAATATTGTGTTGCTTTTGCGACTTGGAGACTTAAGAGGTCTTATTTCTATAACACACCCTCGCCGTTTACGACAGAATGGTCGAGAGAAGGTTGTCTCATATCTTAATTTTTATTCTATGACATCTCTTTTTAAATCACCTGTTGTTAGCTTCTTAGTAGCAAGATGAAGAGATAAATTGCATTAAGGGTCATTGTATCATCATATAACATAACTGTATAGCCTTATTAACAAATGACATAATTTATGATGCAAATAGGAGGAAACAATGAATAATGGAGTAATTAAGCAGTTCTTGTTTCAAGTCCTAACACTGGGAAGATTGTTAATCATACTTAAGAGTGATTTATGATGGGTTATTAATATCTGATTTACCGCAAGGAAGATTTTCATATTCTATATAATCTCAAGAGTATAGTATACCATATTACAGTCATGTAACATTCTTATAATGGCGGGAAGAGAGCGAGGGCTTGGGTGCTGTGGGTCAAATAGCATATAGTTATTTAGGGAGACCGAGTCTAGCTACCTGTTACTTAAATTAAATGATGAAGTACATCATTCAAACACAATGATAAATTCCATGAATTTTTATCCTGAGATAAACTTTGAAATTTACTTTCTCTTACAAGATATTATGGGTCAATCCCCATGTTACACCCACAAATGTAATAACGCCCACAAATGTAATAACGCCCACAAATGTAATAACACTTTACCCACAAATGCAATAACA